AGGCCACACCCCTGGGGAAACTCCCCTTGGGCAGACCGGCCCGCTCAGAACTCAGTCATGTGATCTATCATGGGAACCACCACTCACAACTGGAGTCCAGCCAAGTTGACACATCTTCAACTATCACAGCTCTACTTTGATGAGGCAGTTCTTTTCCAGTCATATTTTGAGTGCCTTCCAACCTGAGGGGCTCATCTTCTGGCATTGTATCAGACAATGTTTCAGGGCGATTCATAAAAATTTCCAGTAATATATCTGACAATATTTCATTACTATTCATAAGGTTTTCACTGGCCAATTCTTTGAGAAGTGGATGGCCTCTTCCTTCTCCCATGTCTGTCTCAGTCTGGAAGCTCTACTGAAACTGGTTCACTATGGGCACCCCTTCTGGCACAGACCCCAGCTTCACAGCAAGATGCAAGCCACCACAGTATGACAAACCAACAGACCAATTCGTCTCCCTTAGTTGTCACTCTGCTCACTTCCTGGACTACCCGCTACCTGTTCCTGCTGACCCTGTGTGCCACTGCTCCCTGCCACCTGGGGGCTGTCTCCCACCTGACTTACCTCTTCCAGCTGCCGACCCCTAAAAAAATTCACTTGCATGTGATATTAATGATGTTGTTTGATAATTTCCACAGTCTGTTAGATCAACTTTCTTTGGAATGGGCACACATGTGGATCTCTTCCAGCAGGTTGGCCAGGTACCTGTCTTCCAAATTTCTTGGCATAAATGAGTGAGGGCTTGCAGCATTGCATCCTTGCATCTGTTTGTTGAAACATCTTAATTCATATGTATTCAGTTCCTAAGGACTTGCTTTTCACCAATGCCATCATTGGAGCTTGGACTTCTTTCAATACCATTGATTCTTGATCTTACACTACCTCCTGAAATTGTTGAACATTGACCAATTCTTTTTAGTACAGTGACTATATACTCCATCTTCTTTTGAACATAGACCAAGAGGCAGTCATTTGAACAGAATAAAGGGACCAATACTCCATTGTTTAAAATCAAGTAAGGTGTGCTATCAGGGTTGAATCCTTTGACCACGCTTAATCTGTATGGTAAGCAAATAATCCAGAAACTGGAGTACATGAAGACGAACATATCAGGATTGGAGGAAGACTCATTGATTAACCACCTGTGATATGCAGATAATACAACCTTGCTTGCTGAAAGTGAAAAGGACTTGAAGTAATAATGAAGATCAATGACTAAAGCCTTCAGTATGGATTACACCTCAATACAAAGAAAACTAAAATCTTCACAGCTGGATCAATAAGCACCATTATGATAAACAGAAAATTTTGAAGTTGTCAGGGATTTCATTTTACTTGGATCCACAATCAATGCTCATGGAAGTAGCAATCAGGATATCAAATGTCATACTGCATTGGGCAAATTTAAAGCATAGATGTCACCTTGAGGACTAAGGTAGGACTGACCCAAGCCATGGTATTTTCAGTCACCTCATATGCATGCGAAAACTGGACAATGAATAAGGAAGATCGAAGGAGAATTGTGGTCAAGAATATTGACTATACCATGGACTGCCAGAAGAATGAACAAATCTGTCTTGCAAGAAAAACAGCTAGAATGCTCCTTAAAACAAGGATTGCAAGACTTGATCTCATGTACTTTGGACATATTATCAGGAGGAATCGTGCTTGGTAGAGAACCAGTGAAAAAGAGGAAGACCTTCAACAAGATGGATTGGCATAGTGGCTGCCAAAAATGGGCTCAAACATAGCAATGATTGTAAGGGTGGTGCTAGCCTGGGCAGTGGTTCATTCTGTTGTACCTGGGGTCACTGTGTGCTGGGAAGGACTTGATGGCACCTAATAACAGCAAAGTGAAGATAATATTACCTTTTATTAGAGCTTAAATTCTAAAGCACATGCATTGTGAAAGGCTGCAGTGGGAGCCTTAACTGCATTTTGAGTCTTGACATAAGTTCAGATGCCATTTGAGTTCTTTCTGACCATTAACACAGCAATGTGGCTAGGAAAAGACAAGTCCAGGACAAACGTAGGGAGGGACAATTTGCCTGCAGGAAAAATGTGCTTGAAAGAGGATTATGCTCATGTAAAGAACTAGGAAACTTGCTTACATGCTGTGTCCTTACCTAATTTAAAGGTTAGGGTGGTTGGTATCGTCTTGTAACTTGTGGCTGTGACTCAAGTCATGTGGTCATGAGTCATACCCTGTAGCCAGGTGGTCAAGTCCCAGAAACCAATCCTAGAAACTTTTTTAATCTTCAGATGTGTATGTATCCTAGTCAGGGTCCTTTCCTTGCTTCTGTAGTCTCACCTGCAACAGTGATGAATTGACCTGCCATCAATCATGACTTTGTGATTTCTTTTATACTCTATCAAATAAAATAAAGGAGCTCTGGTGGTGCTGTGCTTACAGCATTAAGCTGCTGACCAAAAGGTCAGTCGTTCAAATCCACCAGCCATTCTGCGGGAGAAATATAATGAGCACTATAATTGTGACTCAGTGGACTCCATTCGGCTTTCTGTACTGTGTACATGCTGATGGTTTCCCTCATCCTGTATTAATGTCTTTGTTCTATCTAAGGCTTTATAAAAAGTCCTTTATAGAACAAGTTTGAATCTGGGGTTTTTTTTCCCCAGCACACCTTTTACTGGTGATATAAGAAGCAGAGATTGTGTCTGGTAGCTATCATTGTGAACTCAGCTTCTTTACCTTGATCTCATCGTCTCTGAAAGTCTGTCCTGCTGCCACCGTCTGTTTGCACTGTTGAATTTTTTTTTAGTTTTTAACGTGATTTGGGTGAAAGTTTAGAGAGCAAATTCATCTTCCATACAGTAGTTCATACATATTTTGTTTCATGACATTGACTGCAATCCCCACAATGTAACAGCTCTCTTCCCACTTCCTCCCCCTAGTTATCTCTTCCTTGTGTCTCTTCCTATGCATTTCTGCCCCCTGAGCTATCTCCCTGTGCTGTCGCGGCCAGCGCGACAATTCTAGAACAGGGGGTAAGAGAATGAGTTAAAAATGAGAGAAAAAGTTAAAGGATGGGAACGGGAGGGACACTCAGAGCCATTGCAAAGCAGTGTCAACTTTATTATAATTATACTCAAACTTAAATACAGGTTTAACATGAGAAAAGTGCATGATTCATACGTCATACAATCAATCACAAGTTAATCAACATTAGGAAAAGTACATGCATAAACAATAGACATATTAAAATTTAACCTAACATTCCTGTTCCCATAATTCACGTCACCACAACTCAGGTCACCTTAACTTCTTAAATTCTATACTCATTGTTCTATGTAACTATGTTCCCTAGCAACTAGTTTAGATTGGCTTCCGCATATTCTGGGTTCAATCAAAGGTTATGCCTCTTACGCACCTGCTGTTACACAGAACAATACAAGGGAGAAAATGGCTGATGGTGTACTAAGAGCAGGGCCCAACTTTCAGGGACACTTAACAGCATCAGCCCACAAAAGCCAGGGCCCATCAGTCCTAGTCCTTATGGGGACACTGAAAGTATCAACCTATTTCTGAGAGCCGTTGCTCAATTAGTCACTCACCATGTCCCATCAGTCCTTTAAGACTTAGGGCTCTCCACACTGTGCAAAACTGCCCTTCTGATCTCCCACGATTGATTGTTCTAAGGAGTGTATCTGTTGTAGTTATGTGCGGTCGAGTCAGACTCGACTCATAGCGACCACTCCTTGGATTTCTGAGGCAGTATCACTACGGAAGTAGATTGCCCAACCTTCCTTCCGAGGAGTGGCTGGTGGATTTGAACTGCCAGCCTTCTGGTTAGCAGTTAAGTGCCTTAGCCACTATGCTACCGGAGCTCCCAAGGAGTGTATCCAACTGGTATAAATGTTCACCCTTTGTGCCTGTCTGTTGTTTGTCTGGAAGCCACGGAAGTGACTTTAATTCCAGACCTGAAAGGTTACTAGGGGCCATAGCCTTGGGGGTCTCACCAGGCCTTATCAGACCAGTAAGTCTGGTCTTTTTTTATGATTTTGAATTTTGTTTCATATTTTTTTTCCCACTCTATCCAGAATCTCTTGCACTGATCCTTTTCTGAGTGGTTGACAGTAGTAGCCGGGCACCATCTAGTTCCTCTGGTCTCATAGTCATACAGGCTGAGGTTCCCATGATCCACTAGGTCCTTGGACTAATTGTTTCCATGAATCTTTGGTTTTCCTCATTCTTCTTTGCTCCAGATGAGGAGAGATCAATTGTTGCATCTAGATGGCCGCTTACAAGCTTTTAAGACTCCAGTCACTACTCACCAAAGTATGATGTAGAACAATGTTTTTTGTGTAGTTATTATACCAACTGAGCTTGATGTCCTCCACGACCATGGTCCTCAGCCCCCAGGTCCAATAACATGCTCCATCCGGGTGGCTGACTACGGCTAAGAAGTTATTGTAACTTTGCTCCCATTCTTTTTATTTGAACATTCTTACAGCACATACAGGAGCTCTGGTGGCATAGTGCCTAAGGCATTGGACTGCTAACCAGAAGGCTGGAGGTTCAAACCCACCAGCCACTCCTCAGAAGGAAGATAGGGCAGTCTACTTCTGTAGTGATACCTCCTTGGAAATCCAAGAAGGGGTCGCTATGAGTCAGATGCGACTTGAAGGCAATGTTTGCTTTTTACAGCACATACTGTTGAATTGTTTTTAATTAAAAGTTTTAATTTTGGTTCAGTCAGTATTTCCTAGTCAGCATCTCCTGATAGAAAGGCTTTTGGATACAAGTGGTCAGTAAAAAGTAGAATCTTAGTAAATACGTGTTCAATAAATTGACTAGATTAATGGTCTGGAGGAGTCAGCTCCGACTCATGGTGACCCTGTGCACAACTGAACGAAACACTGACCCTGCACCAGCCTCACAGTCCCTGCTACACCTGAGCTCATCGTTGCAGCCATGCTGTCAGTCCATCTCATTGAGGGTCTTCCCCTTTTTCACTGACCCTCCTCTTTACCAAGCATGACATCCTTCTCCAGGGAATGGTCCCTTCTGACAACATGGCCGAGTAGGTGAGACGAAGTCTGGCCATTCTAGCTTCCACGGAGCATTCCACCACGTGTCTGTCAGTTCCGGGCACTGCCGTGTCTGGTGTGTTGCTGTGAGGCTGGAGGCTATGCCATGGGTTTTCAAAATACCACCAGGGTCACCCATGGTGGGCAGGTTTCAGCCGAGCTTCCAGACTAAGACAGACTTGGAAGAAGGAAGGGAACGTCCACTTCTCAAAGAATTGGCCAGTGAAAACCTTACGAATTACAGTGAAACACTGATATATTACTGGTCTGGAAGTAGAAGACAAATATGTATGAAGATGGATTTTTTTTTTTTTTTTGAGAACTTAAGTTTTCTTTAAATAACCTTTTTATTTGAGGAGAAAGGAAAGAACAAGACCAAAAAAAAAAAAAAGACAGGGTTAAGCGTCTCCCTCCAGAATTTCCTGGACCCAGAGCGATCCCCTCAGCCCTGCTCCGCAGAGAGGAGCTTGTACTCTAGATGGGCAGGTACCAGCGCTGGCGCATGCGCGCCAGGTCGCAGTCGCCGCCGCCCCGCCTTCTGGTTATAGCGCTCCCTGCAGTCTTAGTCTTTTCCGCTTCTGCAGCTCCTGTGCCGGAGAGGAGCTGTGTGAATGTGACACTGGCCTAGCTTTCCTTCCGCCGGTCACTGGCTTCCCTGCAATGGCATCTGGGCTGCTGAGGCTGCTCCTGCGCAGGCCTAACTGCCTCCTGGCTCCGGCTGCCCCCCTGTTAGCCCCTCCAGTGCGGGGCGTGAAGAAGGGATTCCGCGCGGCTTTCCGCTTCCAGAAGGAGTTGGAGCGGTGGCGCTTGCTCCGGAATCCACCACCGCCCGTGCGCCGGTAGGAGCCGCCTCGAAAAGGGTTCTGGGTGGCGATGGAGGACCTTGGGCCGCGTCGCCTGCGTCTTCGGCCCGGCGGCGAGGAAGGTTGCTCGTCGCCAATGTGCTCCAGGCTTGAGCCTAGGCGGTTTGTTAAGAGAGTCAACGTGGACGCGTGGCGGTAGAGCCTGAGCTGCCCGCGCCGCCCGCGCCGTTTACTGCCATTTAGAATCCAATTAACCGAGAGTCGTGAGAAACGAGGCCGACCTGACCTTGCGTGGTCTTGTGTTGCAGTCCTGGTTTTGTAATGCCTGAAATTATTCGGGTGCGGGTGGAGTGAACAAACAAGGAAGTACTCCCAGCACGGCTGTCCACAGTAAATGAAGAAGTTTGGTCTTCGGTTTTCATCGTAATCTTGTTCCAGTAGTATGGAGCCTGGCAGAAGGAGGTGCAGGTTTTGTAGCGCCACATGCCATCACACTATACAGGGGGTTCTGCACCTTGTTTTTTCTCTGTAATAATGGTCCTTTGACATTGTCATGACAGAATGGATACACCGCGTTCTGTTATATGGCTGCATGCCCCTAGTATACGTGCGTGCACTCCAGCATATGCGGCATTCTGTTTTATCGTTCTTGTAACCAATGTGGCAGTGAATAGCCGTGAACTTTTACCTTTGGGAATTTATACATAAGTATGAAATTGTGCTGCTGGTGGTGGTCATTTTGCCCTTTCCAGAAAGGGTTGATCCATTTCATACTCCCATCATCAGTAACATGTGTGTTCATGTTAATCTATTCTTCCAACACAGAATATTATATTTTTCCCTAATTGGGGGAAAAACAGTATTTCTTCTTGATTCTCATTTCTTTGATTTTCAGCCCAATTCTTTATACTTTGTTGTTGCTTTCTTACTTAAAAAGGTTTCACTTTGGACTTGTCTTTGTTTACAAAAAGATCTGTTGGCCCATTCTTGGACCTCAGGAGCTTTTTACCTATTGATTGATACCATGCTGTTTAAGTGCTGATTTAAAATGGATATTTCTAAAATTTAAGTCAATAAAATACAAACTGCATATAATAATATAGTTACTGCTCATGGACTGAATCGGTGAAGTTATAATTTCTGTTACTTATTTAGGTGAAAGTAGTCTCTGGGTGGCACAAACGGTAAGTGCTCTGCTAGCCCAAAGGTTACTAGTTCAACCCCACACAGACTCCATAGAAGATGGGTCTGAAGATCTTCCGAAAGGTTACGGCCTTGAAAACTGTGCAGCAGTTCTAGTCTGTAGGCATGGGGTTCTGTGAGTTGCAGTCTATTCTTGATGGAACTAACAGCAACTACAACCTAGCTGTCAAGCAAAGTTTCATGGTTAGGGCAAAAATAGGGAACCTAAAGGTTAGGATAATGGCTTAGTCTCTGATGTTGAACCACTTGAATGTGGCAACTGGTTCAAGTGAAAATAATCCAGCCATATATACAGAATGTAGTGAAAGACTGCAAGTAATCATCCAACTTGAATTTTACAACTTAAAATGCCAGGGCCTGGCATTAAAAAGAAATGCAGTCTTTTTTTTGTTGTTGTTATATAACTAATAAAATTACAACACAGTGAAAACATTTCAAGTCATAGTAACATGTTCTGTTTACCATATGCTACTGTGTTCTGTTTTATATTTTCAGTTCAGAGAAACCCAACTGGGATTATCATGCTGAAATACAAGCATTTGGACATCGGTTACAGGAAACCTTTTCCTTAGATCTTCTTAAAACTGCGTTTGTTAATAGCTGCTACATTAAAAGTGAGGAGGCCAAACGCCAAAAGCTTGGAATAGAGAAAGAAGCTGTTCTTTTGAATCTTAAGGATAATCAAGAACTGTCTGAACAAGGGACATCTTTTTCACAGACTTGCCTCACTCATTTTCTTGAGGTCGCGTTCCCACCCTTACCCGCTGAAGGCATCAAAAGTCTTGTTGACTTTCTCACTGGTGAGGAGGTCGTGTGTCATGTGGCTCGGAACTTGGCTGTGGACCAGTTAACGCTGAGTGCCGAGTTTCCGGTGCCCCCGACTGTACTGAAGCAGACTTTCTTTGCAGTCGTTGGAGCCCTGCTACAGAGCAGCGGACCTGAGAGGACTGCACTTTTCATCAGGGTAGGTGATTAGTAATTGGACCTGCTTGGATATGTTTGAGATGGGGAGATGTGAAAACGTATGTTTGTAATTCACTTCTTTATTATACTAATTTTGAAGATTATATGTGAGTTATTCCCCCTCCAAAAACTGAGGAAGTCCTAAAAGCCTTTTTACGATAGGATCTTAATTATGATATGAATTAATTCATATAATTGTAATGTGCATATCACTGTATTTTTGGTTAATATTGTTGTTAGGGGGAGCTCTGGTGATGTAGTGCCCAAGGCATTTGAGTGCTAACCAGAAGGCTGGTAGTTCAAACCTACCAGCCACTCCTAGGAAGGAACATTGGGCAATCTACTTCTGTAGCGATACTGTCTTGGAAACCCAAGAAGGGGTTGCTGTGAGTCAGATCCGACTTGACAACAGTGAGTTTGGTTTGGTTTGATTGTTGTTAGGAGCTGTCAAGTCCATTCCAACTCATAACAGAATGAAACACAGCCCGGTTCTACACCACCCTCACAATCCTTGCTGTGCTTGAGCCCATGGTGTCAGCCACTGTGTCAGTCCCTCTCATTGAGGGTCTTCCCCTTTTTCTCAGACCCTCTACTTTACCAAGCATGCTACCCTTCTCCTGGACTGGTCCCTTCTGACCACATGACCAAAGTAGGTGAGACGTAGTCTGGCCATTCTCACTTCTAAGGAGCAATCCAGCTGCACTTCTTCCAGGATAGATTTGTTCATTCTTCTGGCAATCCATGATATTTTCAGTATTCTTCACGAACACCACAATTCAAAGGCATCAATTCTTCATTGGTCTTCCTTATTCATTGTCCAGCTTTCACATGCATATGAGGCAATTGAAAAATACCATGTTTGGATCAGGACCACCTTCGTCTTCAAAATAACATCTTTGCTCTTCAACACTTTAAAATTGAAGACTTCATTTTGCTTGGATCCGTAATCAACACCCATGGATGCAGCAGTCAAGAAATCAGACATTGTATTGCACTGGGCAAATCTTTAGCAAAAGACAACCTTAAAGTGTTGAGCAAAGATATTATTATATGATGGAGTCTTAATTATTCCCGTTTTCTCTGCGAACAACATCAGATGTGAATATTCAATGTCAGTTCTTAAGGACAACAAGCCAAGTAACACGCCTCATTATAGATGCTCTGTAGATGTTTGGTGAATGAATGAGGCCAAAGTCCCTGTATCAGTACCTAGTGTGGTTTCTTTACAGAAGTAGAGTGCCCCATCTTGCGTGGAGCAGCCAAGCTTCTAGGTAATAGTCAGATGTGTTAGGCACTGTGCCACCAGAGCTTTTAGGTGGTGTGGTAGATAAAGCACTTGCCTGCTAACTAGAAGGTTGGTATTTCAAACTCATTGGCCACTCCGTGCAAGGAAGATGGGGTGATTTACTTATGTAAAGATTTGCAGCCTCAAAACCCAGTAGGGGTCGCTATGAGTCGGAATCGACTTGATGGCAGTGAGTTTGGTTTTTTGGTAATGTGGTTAAGGGGCCTCATGCTTAAATACCAGCTGCTGTTCTGCTCTTCCAAGTGATAAAATCAGATTTCTGAGCCCCTGTGATGTACAACTCTTAGCCAATAGCTTACCAAAAAATCCTGTTTTCAAGTCAATTTCAACTCATAGCAGTCCTATGGAATAAAGCAGAACTTCCACATAGGGTCCCAGAGCTCTAGTGGTGTAGTGCCTAAGGCATTTGACTGCTTACCGGAAAACTGGTGTTCAAAACCTACCAGCCGCTTCTTGGGAGGAAGACTGGGCAATCTACTTACGTTGTTATACTGCCTCAGAAACCCAAGGAGGGGTTGCTATGAGTTGGATCCGACTCCATGGCAGTAGTTGTGTTGCGTTCCACATAGGGTCTGGTGGCGCAGTGCCTAAGGCATTTGACTGGTAACCAGAAGGCTGGCAGTTCAAACCCAGTTCCGTAGTAATACCGCCTCAGAAGCCCAAGGAGGGGTCACTATGAGTTGGATCTGACTCAACGGCAGTGAGTTTGGTTTGGTTTTTAAATCTTTACAGGAGCAGATTACCAGTTCTTTTTTCCCACAGAGCCACTGGGTAGGTTCAAACTGCCAACCTTTTGGTTAGCAGCCAAGCACTTAAGCACTGCACCATCAGGGTTCCTTTCTGTTAGGCTTTGATAATTCAGATATCTGTTTTCTAAATCAGGAGTTTTGATGACTTCTGTTGTATTTCTCCCGTAGCAGAATTGATTGAATTGTCTTGATCTCATTTATTCATCTAACTACTATTTCTTGAGTGGCTACTATGTGCTCATGTACTGTGCTGAGCACTGAATCCAGAGGCTAAGTAGGGTGTGCTCCCTGTCTTCAGCTCCTTAGGCAAATAGTAGTCTGTGGGAAGTGTTGTCACGAGACACTTGCCACTAGAAATGACTTTCCAAGAAGTGTCAAGAAAGACCTTGTGTGGGAGAACTACAAGTAGTTTTATGTGACTGGTTATACTGTATCTGGGTGGGGGTAGGAGTAGGGGTGATTGCAGAGATGAATGTGGTCTCCTAAGGTTGGGCAATCCTACTTCCGTAGTGATACTGCCTGGGAAACCCAAGGAGGGGTCGCTATGAGTCGGGTTTGACGCGACGGCACATAACAACAACAACAACAACAACAAGCCAGTGTTACCAGAGGGTGGGCCTCAACAGTAGCATCAGCATCACTGGAGAACCTGCTAGAAGGGGAAGTTCTCAGCCATCCCCTCAGATTATGGAATCAGAAGCTCCAGATGATTCTTTTATTATTTTCTTAATTTTTATTGTGACTTGGGTGAAAGTTAAAGAGCAAACTCATTTTCTGTACAGCAGCTTGTACACATTTTGTCTCTGACATTGACTGCATTCCCCACAATGTAGCTCTCTTTGCACTACTTCCCTGTAGTTACCTCTTTCCTGTGCCCTTCTTTCCTATGCATTCCTGTCTCCACGTCCCCACCCCCCCAGCTAGCGCCCTGTGCGAACACTGCCCTTTTCTCCCGATTCATTGTTCTAAGGAGTGTATATACCTAATGTAAGTGTTCACCCCATATGCCTGCCTGTTGTTTGGCTAGAACCCTTGGGAGTGAGTTCAGTTCCAGACCTGAAGGGTACCCTAGGGGCCATAGTCTTGGGCGTTTCACCAGGCTCTGTTGTTGTTGTTGTTGTTATGTGCCATCAAGTCAGACCCGACTCATGGCAACTCCTCCTTGGCTTTCTGAAGCAGTATCATTACGGAAGTAGATTTCCCCATCTTCCTTCCGAGGAGTGGCTAGTGGGTTTGAACCGCTAGATTTCTGGTTAGTAGTCAAGTGCCTTGGGCACTATGCTACCAGAGCTCCCTCACTAGGCTCTGTTCAACCAGCAAACCTGGTCTTTTTTTTTTTTTTTTAATGATTTTGGGTTTTGTTCCCCATTGTTCTCCCACTGTATCCAGGATCTTCCACGTGATTGTTTTGCACCTAAAAATTAGAACAGTGCTGTTAACTTGCTAACTAGCTCTGGTGGCATAGTGGTTCAAGCATTCAGTTGCTTACCAAAAGGTTGACAGTTCAAACCCACCAGCCGTTTCACAGGGAAAAGATGAGGCAGTCTGCTTCCATAACGAAACCCTGTAAGGGCAGTTCTACTCAGCCATGTAGGGTCACTATGCGTCATAATCGACTAGATGGCAGTAGGTTTTATTTTTTTTATGGTATTGTTGTTGTTGTTATGTGCCGTCGAGTCGGACCCAACTAATAGCGACCCCTCCTTGGGTTTCCAAGGCAGGGTCACTATGGAAGTAGATTGCCCAACCTTCCTTCCAAGGAGTGGCTGGTGGATTTGAACCACCAGCCTTCTGGTTAGCAGTCAAGTGCCTTAGGCACTACGCTACCAGAGCTCCCTTTTGTTTTTGGTATAACCTTCTTACATTTGATGATCTTATAAAGGCTAAAGTACATAGAGCTGGAGAAGAATTTTAAGTGAGAGTTTCATGCAGTTTAGAGACATCAATTCTTCTGTCATATTGGCTCCCTACAGAGGCGGATGGGGTTGGACATATTCAACCCTCACCTTACTGATAGGTCTGGTGGAGATAAGAACAGGAGCCAATAGGGAGACATTAGAAGGGAACATAGGCAGTCACCCCAGGATAATTAAGATTTTTTTCTGTATCTCTACTAATATCTCAGGCATTAGAATGATTCTTTTTTCTACAGTTAGTTATCCTATATGGTAAATAACAATCCAGGGATACGAACATACATATATACATACATTTACATATATATATATGTCTCATAAGGCATCTTTATTGTTGAATATTAAAAGATTCAAAATCCACATCTGAGAATGAATTTAGAAACATTGTTAACCAATGAAGCTGAAATAGTTTTATTGCGGTTTTTGGCAGTGTTCCAATGAAATGGACTTTATTTCATGCAACTAAGGGGTTTTTCTTAAATCTCTCTCTTCTCCTGCCCTCATTCACCCTTTCTGTTGGCATATCATTAAGTTTGTAAACATGGGTTAATTACAACATATATGTTGCTATGAAAATTAATACTTGTTTCCTACATTTTATATACAATATAGATTAACTTTTATAAATTGGCAAAATGAATTCCCTTCTGCTGTGAATGTTAATAACTTCTGTGCTTTTAGTCTTATAAAGTCAAGTCATGAACAGTGTTAAAAGGCAGTTTATGAGGGACTAATAGTTCTTTAAATGATTTTAAAAGATTATTAGCTTAGATAATGAAGTACTATTACCTAGAGGCTCTGAGTACCTTTTTATATGAGTTTTTACCACAAGTTATGACTGTTTATTAGTCTAACTTTAAGCATTTTTTTTCTCACTGATAAAAATGTAAATCTAAATTATAAAATAGGGTTCTACCTTCTTTGGAATTTTGGTGTGCATCATGGTGCTTGAAGTAGGCAGTTTTCTTGACTTTTAAATGTTTTTTATTCAGCTGTTTTTTTGTAATAAAATTTGTTAAAAGCGTACTTTGAATTATGGTCCTCATTTCCTTTATACGAATTTAAATGTATAAATTATGTGTTTATGTGCAGGACTTCTTAATTACTCAGATGACTGGAAAAGAGCTCTTTGAGATTTGGAAGATAGTCAATCCTATGGGGCTACTGGTAGAAGAGTTAAAGAAAAGGAACATCTCTGCTCCCGAGTCCAGACTGACGAGGCAGTCCGGAAGCAGCACAGCTCTGCCATTGTACTTTGTTGGTTTATACTGGTTAGTGAAATTCTAATCTTCAGAGTATTGATTGCAAGCTTTTCAAACAGTCTTTTCTCACTTCCGTTAGCATCACCTCTAATTGCATTTAGAGATTTTGAAAATCTTATCTCTGTGATTATTTATTTACTGCTTTCTTGCTGAATGTCATTCTTAGGAGAAGGTAAGTAAGCTCTGGTTTGCTGAATTCACTACGTTAGCCAGCTGTTTACTAGCATTTTATGGAGTGTGGGTGCACTTGCATTTTTCTGTATAAAGAATGAGTTTAGATTCATACAGGTTTTCATTTTAACCATGATCCAGTCTTGTCAGCAGCTTCAAAGGAGCCCAGAACTAAGCCAGGAAGGGCTATGCCCATAAAATGTATAAATCAGCCCAAGTTGAGAGCTTTTTTTGTTTATAAAAATTGTACCTGCCCCTTGATCAATAAAACACTGAATCTCTAAGATAAATTTTGGGCCAGAAAGTTTGCAGAAGTTAAATATCATTAGAACTAGCACATCCATTCCATGCTTGTAAACTAACAGGGTGATTGTTGTTTCGTGTGCACTTCGTTTGCTGCCTTGGAGAAGCATTTTTACATTTTCATTAATGATAATGGACCTACCAGTGAGGCAGAGGCATTGTCATTACAGGGACGCTGTAGTCAACACCTAGTCAGCCCTGCCTGTGCTCTCCATGTCTTTTGGAAATAAATTAGAGTGTGAGTTATAACTATGCCAAGCTTGTCCCCCTCCCCACCTTAATGTCAATAAGGTTTTGAAGCTATATAACTCTTACTTTAAATCGTAGAGCTAGTTTCTTACTTGTTAAAAAGTTTCGATGACACACCTGAAAGGTATTCTTTTCCACCCAAACCTTTACTCAAGATATATCACAGATTCAAAATGAGTTAAATAAACCAAGACTCAATGTGTTTAGTAAGTAAAGAGTTCTACAAAATGTTACTTGTATATCCTTCCAGTTCTCCCACCAGCAATTTAAAAAAAACAATCATACATATATAGGTGTGCCTTGCTTTTCTTCACTCAGCAAAAATTAGGCCTAGTGAGTTTTTTTTCCTGTGAAAATGTAAATATTTCTTTGTCTAACTGCTGTATATAATGAATCTTCAACAGGATCACTTAAAATCCAAAAGATACTATACCCAGAGGCATATGTTACTTCTGGTGGATATTATTACTGAAAAAGACTTGGAAGGCTGTACTGATTTGTGCACTGCGTTTTGCGACGCACCATGTGGTTGAAGACTATTGCTTGTTTTCTTGCCAGTGACAGAAAGTTGATCGCAGAAGGACCTGGGGAAACAGTATTGGTTGCAGAAGAAGAAGCTGCTCGAGCGGCGCTCAGGAAACTCTATGGGTTCACTGAGAATCGTCGGCCCTGGGACTATTCCAGGCCCAAAGAGAAGCTGAGAGCAGAGAGGACCATCACTGCCAGCTAACAGATCAAGAGGGAGAACCTAAAATCTGTGAGAAAACAATGAGACCACTTTACAGATGTCCAAATGTGGACTTTGTTTTAAGTTGTAAAGAAATATGTCTTTTTCTCCATCCTATGTTCTTAAAATTAAGTGAGTGCCAATCAGGACCTTGAGTTGGAATGGACTCCACGGCAACAGGATTGATGTGTTTTGTTTTTTTTTTGGGGGGGGGGACTTGGTTCCAAGAACTGTTTCCTAAAGTCCTTGATTTGTACCCAGCAAAAACCAATCCACTGCCACCGAGTCGTTTCTGACTCATATCAGATGATGGGACAGAGTAGAACATCCCCATGGTGTTCCTAGGCTATAAATTTTTATGGAAGCCGACGACCAATTCTGTCTCCCATGGAACTGTTGCTGGGTTCCAACTGCTGACTTTATGGTTAGCAGCTGAGTGCTTTAACCACTGTGACACCAGGGCTCCTCATAGTTTGTATAGTTAAGTATATTATATTTCCCTCTAGCTATGAGGTATTATATTTTGAATACAGGTTTTAGGTGAACTTTGCTGTAATACCAATAAAAAAGTTGTTCTTTCTCTAAATGTTACATTGTAATTTAATTTGATATGCCCAACAATGTTAGGAGGTTGATGACCTTTGCCTCTAATATAATAACTCTTCTAGAAATGTAGCAAACTTTGGTGGTGGTGTGGTTAAAGCATTTGGCTGCTAACTGAAAGGTCAGAGGTTCAAACCCACCGGCTACTCTGTGAGAGAAAGCTGAGGCAATCTGCTTCTGCAAGGATTTACAGCCTTGGAAACCCCATGGGACAGTTCTGCTCTGTCCTAGAATAGGGTTGTTATGAGCTGGAATTGACTTGACGGCAATGGGTTTGGCATTTGGATTTCTAGAATTGTAAGTTGCAGATTAATATCACAATTAGATGTTGGCATTCTGTCTAGAGACAGGATTATGTCAGAATTGTGGGGTCTTCTAACACATTTCTTAGATAATTCAGTTTCTGTAAAATACAGAATTAGAAGAGGTAAATTTTACGCTCTTTAGAAATGACCTTTTCTAAGAAAACAAAATTCAAAAGCAGCTTAAAATGTTGGTGCTGATGCAGCTGTAAGGAGCCCTGGTGGTGCAGTGGTTAAGTGTTTGGTTGCTAACTGAGAGGCCAGTGGTTTGAACCCATCAGCCACTCTGTGGGAGAATGATGTGGCAGTGTTTCCATGACGATGGGGCAGCTCTGCTCCATCCTGTGGGGTCACTGTGAGTTGGAATCCATTTGGCAGTGGGTTTAAGGCAGGTTTATTATTGGAAAAATAAGGTATGCATTTATAAATTGAATTTAGCATCCTGTAATCATTGTAATAAGGAGCTCTGGTGGCATACTGCCTAAGGCATTTGACTACTAACCAAACCCAACAGCCACTCCGCGGGAGGAAGGCTGAGCAATCTACCTCTGTAAAGATTTACCACCTCAGAAACCCAAAGGGGTTCAGAATCAAGTTGATGGCAGTGAGTTTGTTTTTTTGTGGGGTGGGGGTGGGTTGGGGGAAATCATTGTAATAGTTACTTTGTACCAAGCACTATTCTAAGTATTTGATTGGTATTATTGGTATTAATGCATTTAATTCAGTGGAGGACGAACCTTCTTGAATATGTCCTTCTGGTTCTTTAATCCTCTGTGTTTCTTCTCCACTGCCAATTCCCTTTATTTCTTTTTAACTTTGGCAACAGTGAAAATTTTTAGTGTTAATCTGCTTGTAGTCGTTTTTAGGGGTTAAAGAGAAAAGTGGGACTTGAGAGTTGAAAATATATAAAAAAGTAACATTTTAAAACTGGACAGTATTTTTGCAGTGAAGTCTTTTTATAAAGGAAGATGCAGGAATATATTTCAGGGCCTTTGAAATTCCTTTCCTGAGACAGGTGAGGAAAGAGGGATTTAAAGGTGCAAGCAGACTTAAAGCTGTCCTGGGTAAAGCAAAGACTGTTTGTGGATGGGAGAGTTTGAGAAGTAGACTGTTGACTGCATTGGTAGTTTTGAATGTAAGTTTATTTCACTTTTCTTTTTCTGTGTCTGTGTCCTGCTAAGTGGAAGTTGACTCTTAAGTCCTAAAGATTGAACCCAGAGGACCAGACCAGAGGTGAAATGCTATTTGTGTGTGTCATCCACAAGGAAGCATGTTTTGATAAGCATCTCATTGATGCTGTGGAAAGATCAGAGAAGAGTTTGAAAGCAAAACACAGTAAATGCCCTCTAACCACTACTTACCAGGCTACACAAAACATCCCAGTCCAGCTGCAGTACTAGTACCCTTTTTTTTCTCTTACATGAACATTATTTTAAAAGGTCTTGAGACAGTTCAGCTGCAAACTCTGTCGTCTTTTTTTCCCCCATAAATGGTGCTGATGATGTGATCCCAGATTTCTCCAGGTGGGGCAGTTTGTAGGACCTTACCCCGCGGAACTGGAGAGAACTGTCATTCCCTGTACGTTTTCAAGGGTCTGAACTGCAGATGCTTTTAGATTTACATACAGAACAAACCTTTTGAAGTGACGACATGTGTAGCCATTCTAAAGAATGGGATTTCAGCACATTTCTAGGACTCCTTTCCATTTAAATTGTTAAATCATACTTTGTAAAAGTGCCCAAATCAAAATGATGGGTTGGCATATAGAAAACAGTTCCGTGTGAAATAGTGTGAAACTCGGAAGCAGCCTCTGGGTTAACTCTTTGACTTGCTTTAGGTGAATGAATACTGCCTCAGTTTGACTATGAGCTGGAGGAGCTTGTTACAAGGATGTTCTCAAATGGGGCGTTTAACCAAGAGCATTCCGTGACCTCTGTGGGGACTGGCTTTGACTGATCCATGTCAGTGAGAAAGCCATTATGACCATAAGGGGTTTTTGGGATATAATAGCGTTGATGCTTGCCCTTGGGTTGGAACCACAGAAAGACACCAAAGTCATTCTCTGTGAAATTCTGACACCTTCTGCCTCCTTTGCCCACTCTCCAGTCCCTTGACCCCAAACAAAGTATAACTGAAAAAACCAAGCTCACTGTCGTCAAGTCGATTCGACTCATAGCAACCCTTCCTTGGGTGTCCAAGGTGGTATCTCTATGGAAGCAGATCGCCCAGTCTTCCTTCCAAGGAGTGGCTGGTGGGCTTAAACTGCCATCCTGCTGGTTAGCAGTCAAATGCCTTAGGCATTATGCCACCAGAGCTCCCTCTTACATGTTTGTAATATATACATATTTAAAATGGGGATTATTACTCTGGAAGTGCTTTGTTGATCATGAGAAGTGAACTATAACTCAAAAGCATTATAACTTCAATGAGTCCAAAACCAAACTCGCTGCCATCCAGTCAGATCTGACTCATAGCGATCCCTCCTTGGGTTTCCGAGACAGTATCGCTACGGAAGTAGACTGACCATTCTTCCTTTTGAGGAGTGGCTGGTCGGTTTGAACTGCCACCCTTCAAGAATGAAGAGAGGCTTTTTTTAGTTCATGATTGTATTGATTTTGGGCACAAGATGGTGTTGTAATCATATGTCACAGTTAAATTGTATGCAGAATGCCACCATGGGGAACACTGTTTTCTACCCATACAGGAAAGATGTATGTGACAAATGATTACAGTGAAACTATTTTTTTTTTAGGCCCTTTATACGCTAATGTTCTATGACTATATCTGCAGAAACTACCTCACCCTCTTCTCCCCTTACCTCAGGGTATGTCAGTAACTTAAGATTCTGATGTATGAACACTTTGCTTCTAGAGCCAAAGTGTGGAAGCTTGACCACATTTACATTCACTGGAAAGAGGAAAGGGCAGGGCTGTCACTGATAAAATTTTTCAAAGATAGTTTTTCTTTTTTTATTCTCCGTTGAACTATTTCTTTCTCCCTACTTCTCTTTTTATAAAGGGAGAAAACACACTCCGGAAAAGGAATTCCTAGTGTCCGTGTTGACGCTCCCTAAACAGACATGGGCGTTTTTCCTATCAGGGAGCCACCCACAGCATTGCCAGCAGGACATGGGGGGGGGTGCTCACTGCAGGATGCCCAGCTGCCACGTGCTGGATTCCTTAGTGTGCTTGGTTTGGCCCCTCAGCTGACCCCTTGCGTCCGCTCCCCAAATCTGAGCGTGTGAAGACCCTCTACCGTTGTTCTGGGACTTAGAGCTGTGGCTCTTAAATTTATTTGGGGAGCCGAGCACTTGAAAACCACACTCCTCAATGATGATTAGTCATCCCATCCTTCAAACTGAGGGGAATTTTTCCAGGAGAAAACATATCCCTACAAGTCACAGATCACCCTATAAGCACACATGCCCCTGAAGAAGGAGAGCTGGCTGCCTAGGCATTGGCATGTGTGTTCCTTCCATGAATGCTTGTTCTCTTCGTTAATCTGGCTGCTTGTGAGTGCTTACCAATAGAAGACTACTAATGAGACGAAGAGAAATTTCTGGGAGGAAAACGATTGAGAAAATTTAAAACATTAACTTACTTCCACCATTGAGGAAGACCACCATTACGTGATTATTTGCAGGATCCCTTTTTAACTGGAGCTCTTGCACACTGAAATACACAGTGTTCTAATTTCTGCAGAAGAGATGAGTGATAAGGTAATTAACTATTAGAAACAGATCTTTCTAAGTCAAGAGGAAAGGTTTTTCTGACTTTCTGATTACACCTCTGTATTAGCCTAAGTTCTCTAAAGAAGGAAAACCAGTGACATGAATGTTGTTAGGTGCTGTTAAGGTTGTTCTGACTCATAGCAACCCTTTTACTATAGAACTCAATATGCCTGGTCCTCCGCCACCCTTATATTTGTTAGGTGTGAGTCCATTGTTGCAGCCAGTTTGTCAGTCCATCTTGCACAGGGTCTTCCTCTTTTTCATCGACACTCTACCAAGCATGATATCCTTCTTCAGGGATATTCTTTGGTCCTTCCTGATAACATGACCAAAGTGTGAGAGACAAAGTCTGGCCATTCTCACTTCTA